GCGAGGTGGCTCCGCGATCCGACGGCAACGACACCCACGAAAGACCTAACGTCCAACGAACACGCGAACAATTTGAAGAATAATTTGAAGAACGATGACAGAGAGGAGGACGTCCGACAGAGGCTCGCGCAGTGTAGCCTGGACGTTCTCGACGAACGACGCGAACAGTCGGTTCACGATAGAAACGAAAACGAAAGCTGTGACAGCTGCGAGAAACCGTCAGATGAGTCTCGATCGAGACCACGTGGGAAGGAAATACACGAAGACGAGTCTATCGACTCGAGAAGCAAAGAGAATTCACCGGAGCCTGAGCACGCGGTCGCGAGGGCTCGCGGTGACGGAAACTCCGACGACGAGTCAACGAACGTCGAGGAGGATCCGGAACTTGCCGAACTTGCCAAGTTGAGATGTCCAAGCGAGCGGGCCGAAGTACAGGCCGAAAGGGAGAGGAGAAAACGAAGATGTGCCGATTATCCCGGTTTGGCCTTCGGGTGTTCTATATTCTCCAGCGACACGATGATGAAATTCAGTCTGATAAGGAACGAATTGCAGAATATCATGAGCAACCAGTTGAAACGGGTCAGTATCGCATGATACAACTGTGGTGCGCCCCGAGTACGTGCTTACTGTAGGGATGTACGGGTATCTGACGGATATCCGAGTTGGATTTACAAATTTCCATATTAACCAGTAGGACTGTCTAAGGGCCCATGCGTGTCCGGTACCCGCACATCCCGAGTGCAATAGGCGTATCAGATGACGCAAGGTTACCACATGACGCGACCTTGGCGCACTTTGTCGTCGGTCAGTAGGTTCTCGAGGGTCATGCAGCCTTTGATAACGAAAAGCAATTATTGATCGAAATCTCGCTTTCTCTCTCGAATATCCGTGATCCTTCGTTTATCCGACACGTTGTTTTCTCGTTACACCGGACGAGGTGATCTTCTTGAATTCGATACCTTATATGGTAGAGAACGGGTAAAAATACGCGTAGTTAGGTTAGGTGATCTTAGCGGTTACCCGCGATGACGTTACAAGTCATTAAATCATATGTTGTCTTAGACCAAAGGCTAAAAATCGTATGTATTATTAATTGCCTTATTCGAAGTATGCGTTTTTTCCTCTGTACATCCATTCTGGAAAATTACTGGACCGTCTCGAATACTGATTAGAGAAAGGCCTGATTAAACGCCTTGATTCCTCGTTGCCAACTGGAAATCGAAATCGGTTCGCGTTATCGCGCTAAATGAATAATGCACTACTCGTCGCGGCTGTGTAATAATAATTAAGCGACCATTATAAGCACTTCTGGCAGCAATGGAGTTCTTACGGAGGCTTAACGATGCACGATCGGCCGACAAAGAACACTTATCGTTAGGGTTACTGAACGAAGACAATGGGTTAAGCGTGATTCTTTTGCCCAACACGATAAATAATATTCAAGTGTTACAAAGGCCATATGTTCTTGAATCGTTAACCAATGCGTCAGTGTGCATCGACGTGACGTTTTCACTTATTCGTTTTTGGGTAGGCCCCACCTTTTTATATATATATAACTCTGATTGCAACATTTCCAAACTTGGGAGTATCAGCGATTCGAAAGTAACGATCTTTCATTTAGAAATGCTGCTATAATTTTACCTTAACCTAATAGACTGTCAACAAGATGTGTATCAACAATCTATATAATTATTACAGTAGTCAATGATCCTATCAAATAAGAAATTTTTCGTTCATGAAATATTTTTGGAAAATTTCGATAACGAACTCCAGTCGGCAGCGTCGTTGGTGACGTGTACGTTAACTAAACACAAGTAACACTCGTCAACATTCTAAAAATACATGGCGTCTGTACACCGATCTTGTGGCCTTTTATTCGGCACTCCAAGAGGGGCATTGCGTAAGCATTGCTCCCGGAACGTGCTCCCACAAATCCGCTTTATTACGACCGTTTAAAACGACGACGATACAGCATGTAACACCGTTGCGGCATGCTCATACCGTATTGCACACAAATTTGAAACACGTCGCCTGATACCGACCTTTGAGACAGATTAACCTCTTTCGCGCTTTCGTCATATTTCGCGAAACACCGTGCTGCCATCTGTGCTGGCATTGTTCGCATAACTCGTGCAACTGACCGTAAGCTGGTGTCTTGAAGTTGCAATTCAAATTTCGTTGATTGCTCCTAATTCGATGTTAACCCGGGTTTTGCATCCGTTTAAATTTGAAGTAGATACGTTGAATGCTAGATGGAGCTGCAATCGGCGTAATTGGAAGTGCGCATCGAGCATATGACAAACTTTTGACTTTACGTTCTATTCCGATTATTCCTTCTTATTTATTTATGAAATATTTTCACAAATTACAAATACCTAATTAGCAATTGCAAACACGTGAAATATAATAAAATGAAACTTATTAAAAGCGCTTAGCAAATAATTTAGAACTACAAAATAATATCACGTTCAATGGGGGCTTCAAAATTAAACTTCTCGTTTAGTGTATGACTTAGAATAAACGGATACGTGACATTCCGCTTACGTCATAATTTTTTATGGTGCTTTTACTACTTCAATAAAACCTATGCCGACATACATTTGCATTCGTGTCAATTTTAATATCCTGTATTAAAAGGTTGTATCCGATCACCACATGGTCGTAATGTATTTACATCAAATCAGGTGTTTGATTTTTTTTATAATCGACAACGTTTAATCTCGTGTAACGGTTATGCCATTGAACTCAATTTTTATTCAGATTTACGCGTCAACCGTCCATCTTATTTACTCGCAGTGACATTGAGAAATCGCTTACTGGAAACGATTTATAAAAGAAAGATAACGTTCGTAATCGAACATTATCATCATCGTGGCGAATCGATGCGCGTCGACCCTTGGATGCGGATGGAAAAGCAGAAAAAGCGAAACAACGTAGGAATTGTTGTCGAGCGTCCATTCGAATGACTGGGCGCGCTCGGGACGGGCGCGGTATTTCCGGGGCTTTGCGCGCGACGACACGTCGATCGGCGTAGCGATACTCGGCGTGCGCATCAAGCTTCGTGACGCGGTCACGATAATAAAAAAGATGTTGTCTGACCAATAAACCGAATCTCCGTGACCTCAGTCACGATTAGACGCAAACAATTCTGATAACGATAACGTTACGTTTAATTAATTGATAGTTTTCACGAAATATGGATGAGCGTGTGTCGTTAAGGGCAAGGGACTATTTGACGCGCGCATGGCGGTAGTGCGCATGCGCGTCCAGGCCGGGGGCGGCCATCTTGCTTTCCAGTCAACAGCAGCCAGTGGTCGTCAGTGCACGACAGCTCAGAGGCTACGAAACTCTCTCTCTCGTACGGGTACCGGTTGCCTCTCGTACCACGACATACTTAATTCTCGTACGTCGTGTTCACCGGTTATCTCGTATTCCCGACATTTTCGTCTATTGTTCGAGTTCCAACTCGATCCGCGTCCGAGACACGTAACCGCGGCGTTTTTATACAAAAGTGAGAGAACGCTACGCACGCGGATTCTAGCAGCATGTCGACGCAAGTGCAGGGCACCCTTCTCGACGTGCTCAAGAAGAAGATGAGGCAGACCAAGGAGGAGATGGAAAAGTACAAAGACGAGTGCGAGGAATATCAGAAGCGGCTGCAGGTGGAAGTGATACGACGCGAGGAAGTGAGTGAGAAGTTACTTCACGACCACCTTCGTTTCCCCGTGCACAGCGGTTCGATAAGTACAGTTTACCCGTCGAGCATAGTTTTCTTTCGCTCCCTTTTATTCCAGTTTCGTCGATTTCGTTTTCGCATAACCTGTTCGTCGATTCTTCCATGACGCCTTAGACAGGGACGTAAATGAAACACTGGGAAAGAAAATTCAGATAAATACTCGATCGTTGAAGATCGGTTATATTCGGTCTAGTTATGATTGATTCATTCGACGATCGATCGGGTGATTAATTTTATGAGAACACGTATTGCACGTATCACCGCTTGTCTTTACCGGAAATATGGTACTCAACTTCATGGGATTCGTTTGGAAAAACATCGATCGGTTCGCGAGAGGGTATATTGCAGCGGTTCTCAACCTGTAGGTCGCTATTTCCAAGGGGTCGCAAATTTTCTGGGGGATTCCCATGATTATACGCTGATGAGCACGCCAAGATTTTCTAGGGGAAAGATCCCGCCATTCGTTGATTGTCATAAATTTTCCAATTTACAAGTTATGACATATTTGAAATATATAGGACTAGGAAGTTTATGAATTTGAAAAATTAGAAGTTTGGTGATTTTTCTAAAGCTCTCCAAAAATCGAAGGGAAATAATTCGTAAAGGATCGATTCGTATAGTGTCAGGCACGTCGTCAGGTTGGTGGGTTGTGGCTCTGGAGAGGGCAGGCAGGAGAGTATAGAAGGGACACACCGACTCGACTCGCACTCGAGACATTCTTGATACAACGAGGACCGGCTTGAAAACTCACCTTGCTACCCTCACGGTCGCCAACGATCCTCCCGTGCATTTGAAAACATTGTATCGCTAGTTGAGGCAATTAATAAAAGTCCGCGGTGCGTTAAATTAACTGGGGTCTAACGTTTCGCTCGTGTTTCATCGTTGACTGACATGTGTGTATTGAAGCGACCGGGTCGCCGATACAATCGATCGTACATTGATTCGGGTACGCAGTATTGATTTATAAACCGTCATAAATTATTCCGGAGATATTTTTGACCGTAATAAATTGGGGTAACCATTTATTTTTATGGTGAATTTAAACGAATGAACTTTTAACTAAATTTGAGGATAAAGGTCCTAGAACAAACTTACCAACAATGGTAATAGATTTAAGATTTTCCAGCCCCGGTAGATTGACTTTTGGAACATGTTTGCCTACCCTAAGCCGATCGAATATGAGCTAGAGCAAACATATGTGATATGTACGGTTCATCAGCCCCGGTTTAATTTAACCCTTGCAGCGATGGGTGACGTTTCACCCCATTTGAATTATTTGCAGTCGATATAAGTTTAAAATAATTTTCTTTATTGCATTAATAGATTAATTTTAATTTTTAAAGTAAATTTATACTTAACAAAAAATGTCAAAATTATTGCAATATATATTTTAATTCCTGCTATATTAAAATGTTATGTTTCTGTTTATTTTTGTCCTTGTATTCTCGTAAAAATTCAGACGTTGTACACTGTCCTAGGGAAATTCGAGCACGATGATGCGTCGACGCGTGTCACGCATCCAAAATCGTAGCTCCTTTTTCGGAACATATTTTGCCGACCATTACTGCGCACTTGCCAACGTTATTATTTACACGAGTGACATTTTACAGTCGTTAGCGAGGCCCAAGGTTGAAATTGAAATTTATTTTCCTTTGTTGAGACCTTTTCAACCCCCCCGCTAGGAAGCCTTGTCGTAGACTTTAATATCCTGTTCGTCTACGGTGGCAAGCTTTGTGAAATTATCGATTAATGAAGTAACCGAGACGGTTCTTAGCGCATTGCGTGCCATTTCATGGAATTGTTGAGGGATAACATTGTACCGGCAATGGGTAGGGTCTGGGCC